GTGAGCGCTGGGAAATCCTTCCCGCGTCTTCATCCTAGGAGAGGAAGGGAAATGGTCTGCTCGATTTTTTTTTTTTAATGGTTTTTTATTTTTTATTTACTTCGTTATTGATTTTTTTAATTTGATTTTTATTTTGTTTGAATTTTATTTTATTGTATGATAATAAATAATTCTAATAATTATTATAATTATAATAATAATAATGATAATCTTTATTACATTATTTTATTATTTTTTCACTCTTGCACTTTTTATTTTTATTTTATATTTATTCTTTTATTCTTCTCTTTCACTCTTTTATTTTACCTTTTATCTTTTAGTTTTCACCCTTTTTTCTTTTATTTTTACCCTTTATTATTCTACGTTTTATTTTATTCTTTTACTATGCTATTTTCCTTTCCTTTTTTAAAATTTTTTCATTCTATTTTTATTTGCTTTTTACATTTTTTTATTTGTTTTATTGCTACCCCCCCCCCCAGGGCAGAGCTGCACTGCTGACTACACCAGTTAATTTTTAATTCCAGCCCCCCGTGCTGCCCCACCGGTGGCTGCGGGGGCCACGCAGGTTCCTTCTCCCTTCCCCCGGTTCATACCGTGCTCATTTCCTCTTTCCAAGCCCAGCCTTCCCCTTTCCAGCTCCTTCCCTGCACCCCGCGGGGGTGCCCAAGCCAACTGGATGCTGCGTGGGCGTCAGAGGATTCCCAACACCCACCGAGCCTGCAGCACCATAAATCCCTTCCCGACATCCCGGGGCAGGGATGCGGTGCACGGGATGTCACCGGGCTCCCCGCCTGCCTCGGGAGAGAGGATTTATCCCACGGCAGCTTGGGCACCTCTCGCGGCCGCCAAGGATGGATTCTGGCCATCCTGTGTCTGAATGCCTGGAAAACACGATGCCTGAGTGGTACAAGATGAGGTTCCTGGCACCCTGTGTCTAGGGGATGTGGCTGTCCTGGACCTCCCGGTGGTGACAAGGTTTTCCAGCTCTCATCCAAGCCAGCCCCGCGTTGCCGGGCACGGCTGGAGCGGGCAGCTGTTCCCTTTCCGCCTGCCTGCTCCCTGCATCCCTGATGGTTTGCACAAGGCAGGAAATGTCAGCAATGAGCTCCCGTTAATGGCACTTCACCCACTGCTCTCCTAAAAACCGCTCAGGCGGGCGGCTGGGATGGAATGGGAGCAGGAGCCGGGAGAGCAGCTCTTGGCAACCTGCTGCGCTGCCAGCACCGCGGGGCCGAAAGGATGGAAGTGCCTGGGGATAGGGATGTTACTGTGGTACCCGGGATGCACAGCCTGAGGAAACCCCCTGCAGCCGCATTTGGCAGGGCAGGGAGCACCCAAACCCTTTCAGTCCCCTCCCAAAACCTTTCAGTCCCCACCCAAACCCTTTCAACTCCCCCAGCAACTGTCTCTCACCCTGTTTGAATTTGGGATGTGGAAATCACTCTGTGCTTGGCTACCGAAGTCTGCACCCGTGCATCCCCCCCTTTCTCCAGGACACTCGTGGTTGGCTGATGGTGCCACTGGGATTGGCATTAATGAGGATCCAAGCTCAGAGCAGGCTGCTCCGTGCCAGTGGGATGGGAGCCACAACCTTTCCACCCCCTTGGCCAGCACCCAGGTCCTGCTGGCTCCTCTGTCCCCAGCCAGAGACCCCACCCCTGCCCCCGTTCCTGATAAACTGGGCTAATAAGCTATAAAATGGTGATTATTTTTTGGCAGCGATGACTTGGGTCATCCATGGGGAGGAAGCGGGGTCAGAGCATTGTGGTGCCTGCCCTTCACACCCTCTGCATCCCTGGGGGTGTCCCCAGGGGTATCCCCATCCCTGCAGCTGTGTTGGGGGTCTGGGGAGAGGCTCCAGGGCTGGAGGAGGTTGCTGTGGCCTCGCTCCTGGTGTGTGAAATTGTGCTGTGGGTGCCTGGAGCTACTTCTGGGAAAGGGTGGGTTTTGTTTTTTCCTTGTCTTCCTGTGTGGAAGAGGAAAGCCACTTCTAGCTGCCAGCAGGACACAGTGGCCGGACACGGTCAGGGATGTGTGTCCCTGGCCTGGGAGTGAAGCTGAGGTCACCACGTGCCTTCAACCATGGCCAGATCCACCCAAGGAAACCTTTGGCAGCCCCRGCACTGCAAAGCCCTGGGGTGTCCCTGCATGGTCCCCTCTCTGGGCAGGGGTTATCAGGGCTGAAGGCTTTGGTCACCCATTACCGTGGGTCGGGTGGGAGGCCAGGGCCATGGCTGGTGGCACTGACAGAGCTGTCCTGTGTCCCTCCAGCACGGGGAGCAGTGACCCATACTGCATCGTGAAGATTGACGATGAGGCCATCATCAGGTGAGTGGCTGCAGGTCCCTGGCTGGTCCCAAACCTGCTGGAGCCCTAAATTTGGTTTCTGGTGGGTTCCTCCATTTACCCTCCTGTGGTCACAATATTATTGTTACTATTATTATTGTTATTACTATTAATAATAATAACATTACTACTATTACTGCTATTCCCTGCTTTGGGCTGAGATGTTCCTCCTGACACAGTGATGTCTAATAGCTCACAGCCCCCCTTACTCTGTAAGCCACCCCCATGTCTTGCCAGCCCAGAGCCTCAAGACTGGCCAAGGACATGTGTCTCCAAAAGCTGGGAAGGTCCTGGGGCTGGGAAGGTGGGGAGTGCCCTGGTGAGGGAGCCCTGTCCCCTGTGTCACCAGTGCCACCTGCCCTGCAGGACTGCCACGGTGTGGAAGACGCTGTCCCCGTTCTGGGGGGAAGAATATGAGGTGCAACTCCAGCCCAACTTCCACAGCATCTCCATCTATGTCATGGATGAGGATGCGCTCAGGTATGGGGAGGGCCTGGAGGGGGACTCAGGGGTTTACAGCTTTGGCTCCCCGTGTGCTCAGCCCCATTGCAGACACCACAGAATCCAGGCCTGGCCATACTTCCCTGAGCTTTGGGACACAAAGAGGGGAAGTTATTTCCTGAGGTTACTGTCCAGTTGGCAGCAGAGGGTGGCTGATGTGCTCCATGGGTTCAGACACACCGTGGTGGCCCCAGCCCAGGACTCCCTGAAGTGGGGGCTGTCCTGCCTGGGTGCCAATCTCATGCCATGTCCTGCTTCCCACTTTTGTTTTCCAGCCGCGACGACGTGATCGGGAAGGTCTGCATCACCCGGGACATGCTGGTGGAGCACCCCAAGGGTAGGGGAAAGGGTGGCTGGGGGGGTCCCAGTACGGACCCATCTCCTTGGATAAGCTGGTCCAAGGGCCCCCCCAGTGACCCTTCCATGGGGATCCCCCCTTTTCCCGCAGGATACAGTGGCTGGATGAGCCTCAGTGAGGTGGATCCCGACGAGGAGGTGCAGGGGGAGATCCACCTGCGGGTGGAGGTCCTGGGCAGCCAGGGCAGCCGGCGGCTGCGCTGCTCCGTGCTGGAGGCCAGGTGAGGAGGGGACAAGGGGTGGCAGGGGCTGTGTGTGCAGCCAGGACACGGGCAGTGAGCCTGGGCTGCTTCATGACTCAGTTTCCCTGGTGTGTCCTGTCCCTTGGATGCAGAGCATCCTCCTCACCACCCAGCAGCTGATGGGGGTCCTGGGGCAGAGTCCACCTCATCTRCTGGTCTTTGGGACATGCTGGGGAACTGAGGAGGGCAGTGGGTGCCATGGGTGCCATGTAGGTATTTTGGGAGGTCACTGATAAATATCTTCCTCTTCTGGGCAGGGATTTGGCCAGGAAGGACCGGAATGGGGCCTCTGACCCCTTTGTCCGCCTGCGCTACAACGGGAAGACACAGGAGAGCACTGTGAGTGYGACTGCAGCTCGTTGTGATCCTCAGCCTGCYRGTGGTGCAGGTGGAATCATCCCATGAGGAAACCTGAAGCCATCCCTGTTCCCTGGCATCCCTAGACTGGTGTCCCTGAGGGGCGGGACACAAGGCCATTGCCCTTGCAGGTGGTCAAGAAATCGTGTTACCCCCGCTGGAACGAGACCTTCGAGTTCGAGCTGGCCGAGCCCGCCGGGGAGAAGCTCTGTGTGGAGGTGTGGGACTGGGACCTCGTTGGCAGGAACGACTTCCTGGGCAAGGTGAGCCCCCAAACTCCATCACTGCTGCAGGGGGTCCTGCCCAGCTGCCCACCCAACCCTCTCCTGCCTTCCCCTGCCAGGTGGTGTTCAGTGTCCAGGGGCTGGAGGCGGCTGGGCAGGAGGAGGGGTGGTTCAGGCTGCGGCCGGACAAGTCCAAGCCGATGGAGAACGAGTGAGTGTTGGCACAGGGGCGTTGGGGTGTGCTGGGGGTGGTCCCAGAGCCCAGAGGGGCACTGGGGAGGGGGTTATTCCTGGGTAATGTCATCCTTTGGAGGAGCAGCTCCTCCACCTGCCTGCCCAGGCTTTCTCAGGCTGTTGGGTCACCTCCTGCTTGGTGAAGTACTTCTCCCTCCACCCACCGACCCACCTCATGCTCCTGCAGGCGCCGGGGCAGCCTGGGCTCACTGCAGCTGCAGGTGAGGCTGCGGGATGAGATGGTGCTGCCTTCCCACTGCTACCAGCCCCTGGTCCAGCTCCTGTGCCAGGAGGTGAAGTCGGGGCGCCAGGTGAGGGGTCCCTGCCAAGCCCTGCTGGAGCACCCCCCTTTCCCTGGCTCTGTGCCGGGCCTGTGCCCGACTCAGGCCACATCACACCATGGTGCCTCTCCCCTCCAGGATGGCCAAGTGCACCTGGTCACCCTCCTGGATGAAACCACCACGGCCGAGTGCCGGCAGGAGGTCGCCGTCAACTTGGTCAAACTCTTCCTGGGCCAAGGGCTGGTCAAGGAGTTCCTGGACCTGCTTTTCGAGCTGGAGCTGGCCAAGCCCTGTAAGTGAGAAGTGGAGTCAGAGGCCTCCAACCATCTTCTGGGGCAGCAAAACCTCTGGGATCTTGTGTCGGGAATTTTTTGGGGTGATGGTTGAGGTTCAGCCGTCACACTGTTCTCTGTGTAGGAATCTGCTGGGTTCATCCCAGCAACTCCTGAGCTGAGTTTGGTGGAGGAGCAGGTGGTTTGAGGTTTGGAAATCCCCATAACCCTCATGGAAATGGCCAGGGTTGGAGGGCACAGCCCCTGGGAATGCCCCCATGATTGAAGCTGCTTGGTGGGTAACCTGTGTCCATCCCCCAGGCCATGGAACCTCTCTTGTTTTGCAGGTGAGCCCAACACTTTGTTTCGGAGCAATTCCCTGGCCTCAAAGTCGATGGAGTCCTTCCTCAAGGTGCCAAACTTCCCAAGACTTGCTCTTCCCAGGTCACCCTGGCTCTGGGATGTCCCCAAGGGTCCAGTTCCCGGGGGAAGGATTGGGAGTGCTAGTGGGGCTGTGTCTTCCCCTGGGGCTGGGAGGCTGGAGAAAATCCCCTGGGTGCCCCTGAGGGTGTCTTGAGCCAGACCTGTGGCCCATCACTGTCCCCTGGGCTGTCCCCTGGCAGGTGACAGGGATGCCATACCTGCACTCTGTCCTGGGGCCCACGATCGCCCGCGTGTTCGAGGAGAAGAAATACGTGGAGCTGGACCCTGGCAAGGTGGAGATCAAAGACGTCGGGTAAGGGACTGTTGGGGAGGTGGGACA